ATTTATTGGTTTTTAATTTTAGAATCAACCTATATAAAAATGCAGAAGACTTAATTATGGCTATAGAATGAAATACAAACATGAACTACTCTGACAATGTAAAAGAAAAGGTAGAGGAGATAGAAGTTGAGAGGTGGGAGAGAGAGGAAGGTGGAAATTTGAATGTTTATACCCTCATCTTACACAATGTGAGATTAAGTAAATTTAAAAATGGATAAGGAAGATGGTGGTAGTGGCAGTAGCAGCATGACTTTTTGCTTTCTCCCAAATTCCCCCACTAAAACAGGCCAAAAACACAAAACCAAAAACCCATGGATATATCTATACTACAAACTCCAGAATCCCAAGAGGTAGAGGGGAAACCATGGACAACTACAAAACCTGTATGGTCTAAGCAATTGTGCAGAAGGAAGCAGAGGGACTCAACAAGGCCTCTGATGGGCCTAAGAATCCCTAAACAGCTTTCTCAGTTCTAACTGGAAAGCTGGAAGGGCCAACTTGTGAAGTGCAACTGAACCTAGGAGGGGTTTTGCACATTCTAACTATGGATGGAATACAAGAGGACTATAGAGGGGTCTGAAACGGCTAAAGCAGTCTTGGCCCCAGGAACCCTCAAAACTAACCAGCCAAAGCTCCCCTCCAATACAAAATCCCACACTGACAAGAATCTTCTGGGAATAGAAACCAAACTGAACAGCCCAGGGATAATAAAGGAAAGAAAAGATCTAGGAAACAGTAGGAGAGGGAACCATAGCAGGCAGCTCAGAAAGTATGCCCCTATGATTTTTAACATTATCCAAAAACAATACAAAAGAGAATTCCAGAACCTGAAGTCTAAAAAGCTATCCAAAACCACACTCCCTTCTACAAATTCAGGAAACCTAATTTCATATAAAAATGAGCAAAGAAGAGGCTGGGCGCAGTGGCTCACACCTATAATCGTAGCACTCTGGGAGGCTGAGGCAGGAGGATTGCTTGAGGCCAGGAGTTCGAGATTAGCCTGAGAGAGGAAGACCCCATCTCTACCAAAAACAGAAAAAAATAGCCAGACATGGTGGCATGCACCCATTGTCCCAGCTACTCAGGCGGCTGAGGCAGAAGGA